TCTAGACCATGGGCTCCAATAGACCATATTTTTCCACAGTGGGAAAAAACATGAGCCCACTGTTTCAGAGACTGAAAGTTTTGTGCAGCAATATGAAATTTTAAGTGGATCCATTATATATCCCTACAGGCTTAGAAAGAATGCACTTCCTTGCCTCTGGAATAATTCTTGGATGCAAAAAAAAGTCTCTCCCTCTAATCTGTCTTTCTGGCAACAAGGCCAGCCCTTTATCATTGCCCTAATGTTGTCAATTACTTTCAGTTAATGCCAGATCCCTCTCATTAATGTCAAGAAAACATAAGCTCCTCTTTTTCCCTGAATTCCCCTTATGGAGGCAAGTGTTGCCTGTAGAGGAATGTGTGCCCAAATGCAGTCAGTGGGAACTGCTATGTGAGGCTGTAAACACGCTGCCTGCCTAATGCTCATGCTGCTTAAGACCTGAGAGGATGAATAAAAGAAGTTTCATCACTGTATGCCTTTTTTTCTAACTCAAAGTAAGGATTAGGAATTTTGAACTTTTCTCCATTGTAAACTAATAGGCATAATAATCCTATCAGCATTTTTATTTTTGCACTGGTAAGTGACTTCATTGAGCAGTCTGTATCTACCTTAGACACTACACACAAAAAGTAATTTAAAACAAAGCATTCAGCCAGTGCAACACGTGTGTCTGTGCAAGGACCTGCCTGTGCCTCCACCCAGCTGTAGCAGTCCTTGCAGATCCACCCAGGCAGTCCATCAGCTCACCAAAACCCCCTCCCTTACCTCACACCACCTCCAGCATCTCCCAGCTGCAAATCCTTCCCACTACTCGTCAGCACCAGATTTGGCAGAAGCTTTTTTACATAAATCTGTAACAGAGAAACCCAGGGTGTTGGGAGTGGGGGCGGGGGGGGGAACAGCATATTTATTGCTTTTGCAGGGCAGAGGGGAAACTCAGATTATTAAAGCTCAGTTTTCACCATTGGTGGAAAAAATAGGACTAAAAGAAATGGTTTTACAAAGCGTTTAAGCTGCCCACCCACAGCATGTACTCAGCATGTGTATTCAGGTCAGCATACTATTTCCTATGAGTCACGTTCAGCAGTGCCTTAGCTGCATATTTTAGTCAGAGTGATCTTAGCTGAAGCCTGTGCTGTGAGGAGGCTGGCAGTGTCCAAATTTGTTCTAGTATCCTGGAATTTGCTCCTTTGAGTGTTGTGACTCATTATAATCCAACAGAATTAAACTGTTTCTGTGTATAATTCCCACTGAGCTAATGAAATAGTTAAAAACCCCATCCGTGGTACCGAATAGCAACACAATTTTTATAGAATTAATAATACAATATGGAGGTGGGTTATATAGCTCAAATGCAGCTACACCAGCATTATCTAGCTGAGCATTTGCCGAGGGAAAAAGCCAAGGTTCTTTTCATAATGCAGCTGCCTGCTTCAAGTTCCTTATTACCCCTCTCTCAGCTAGGAGCATGACTGTCATTTTTGGCTGTTCAAATGTGGGGAAATAGTCACAGAGCTGTTCACAGGAGACCACTCAACCCACAGAGGGATGGATGCTCACCCATGCTTGCTCTGCTGCCACTGGCATCTCCCAGCTTCTGGTGGCTACTGCAGGCCATGGCTTGGGTGCCACATGTGAACCCCCAGCCTCCCCAAGCAAAGTAACCAACAACCATGTTGTGTCTTCAAGACAAACAGAAGCTCCAACTCTAAATCCACCCAGCAAAATATCCATGTTGTCATCTTCCTCTGAGCAGGCTTGTCCTGGTCCCGTGAGCACTACAGAGTACACTCTGCTGGGAGTTAGCTGCTTACATGAGTTTTATGCTTCCTCAAGGCTTGCCCAGCCCTTTGAAAACCCAAACCCAAGGACTTCAGTACCCATGGTGTTGCAGCAGCAAGTTGCTTTGTTAAGAGATGCCTTTTGTCTTACAGCTCGTAAGAACAACCTCTAATGCCTGTTAGGGTGACAGGTGCCACAGCTCCAAGAGATGAGGAAGCTCCAAGGCTTCTTCCACAATAAGCGGGGAAGGGGAACAGCCAGGAACAGCAGAATGGGGCAGAGGGGAAGACCAAGCAGTTTACAAGATGGTTTTTTTCCCCTATGGCCAGTGAGCTCACACCAGTCCCTGCAGGATTGAGTCTCTCACACAGCCTTGGCTGCATACACAGAGAGGAGCAGCAGAATGACTCCCCACACCCAGCAACCATTTCACCAGAGGCAGAACAATTTACTGACTGTGTTAAATGGGTAGGCTCATCACTTGGGGTTACAATTAACACTGGAAGGAGATCCAAGAAGTTGTAAGAGTTTAAAGGGATGCCTGTCATGTAATATTCTCTTCAACTTAAATAATATCAAAAATCTGGAGCATAAGGCTAATAAGTAAGAGTAGAATTAATTCCCTAGCTGTCAGCAACAGTGCTCTGAAATGGTGACTTAACATCTAATTACATATTTTTTTAAAGCCTGGTTGCAATCAGTTAGCTTCTGCCCCAGCCCACAGAAAGAACCATGGCTGTGATGAGCGATTATGTATCACAACTACAGGGGTATTTACACTTGTGTTCAAACAGTTAAAGCTGAATGGAGTCAACACCTCCAAACTCAAGGAGATTAGTGCAAAATGAGAGCTTGCAACCAACACCCTCCAGCTCTTTATGCCTGAGAAAGGGCACAGGAAAGCTTCTATCTTTAATGCATAGTTCAGATCCATTTCTCACTCCAGCACCCATTCTGCCACCACTAACTGGCCAGGCCGTGCCACACCACCTCAATGACAGCCAGGTAAGAGGCTTCAGAGACTTGTTTGGGGTTTTTCAGGGAACCTATAATGCCTCCTAATAAGAGAGGTTAAGATAAGAGGAGCTACTAGGGAGCATAAGCTCATACGTTTTTAGGGTATTCTTAATAATGTTATGTTTCCTAAGACATTATAACAGTGAAGCAACCTAACCATCTTAAAAAAGACTATTGTGAATTTTCTTGCTTTTTTTTCCTAGATGAAAGAAACTTATTTTTCTGGCTTAATGTCTATGTCCATCCACTGTGGGATGTAAGTGCTTGAGTTTTACTAGCTCTGTTTCCTCAAACGCAGGTCAGTAGCAAAAGACCATATCCCACCATGCTACTTGCTAGAGCTAATATTGCAGTAAAGAAAGAGAATTTTAATCCAGGAAATACTTCCTACAGCAAGCTAGTATATACCATTTCAGACTAGTTTGCATCAACCCTGAAAATGAGGAATGGAACTAATAAGCTACTGATGAATGACAAGAACAGTGCCCGAGCAAAGGGGAATTATAAGTTTCAATCAGCCTTTGTACTAAGATATATCAGCTTAGCTTTGTGTTCATTCCTAGTGTTGTAAAACCACATCTCATGGCTGACTTGGCCCACTCTGCTCCTCTGCACACTTGGATATCCCCAGGAAAATGCATTTTTCCAATAGGGCCTGCTGAGGCCCACAGTAGCTTTTGACAGAGCATGAAGTAAAGCTGGTGAGAGCAGCCTCTCTCCCCAAGTCACACCAGACTACATTAAAGTTTATACTCATGTTGAAAAACCTGTCTTATGATTTCCATCAAAAAAGTTTTTTATTAAACCCCCTCTAGACACAACTGATTGGTACTTTTAATAATGTATTCAGGTTTTCTCCCATCAATCATCAACCAAATTGTTCTTTTTTTTTTCTTCCATTATTATTGAAAGATTAGCTCTACCATGCAGCACTAATTAGGAAGGAGGATTGATTGAAAAGGCAGCATTTCACTGAACAATTGTTATTCCATTTTTTTGCCAGGTTAAGGCAGGCTTCTGCCATTATTTTTACATAACCTAGCCCTTAGAGATAGAAGCAACATCCTGCAGAGAGCAGAAACGACTTGCTTAGGAATACATCTATAAACCTGACAAGAATCAGCATCCAGAGACTGCTCCAGCTCCTGTCCGCAGTCTCTAAAGTTTTCAGCTGAAGTATAGTGAAAATGAGTTTCTGCAGTGCTGGATCCCAACCAGAGAGAAAAGTGGGTACTGCAGGTTTTCAGTCAGGAATCTTCAACAAAAAAGCAACAACAAAAAAAACCATCCTTTGCTTTTATTTGATAAAAGAGTCTGTAGGAACTGTGTGAGGAGGGTAAGAAACTTGTTATTTTCCCTGGCACTAGGAGAGCAAATAAAAGCTTCCAGCAGGCAGTTTTGCTAATAGGAATTGACTTAGTGTTAGAAGGGGTCTCTGTTCCATCCAGGGAATGCGAGCTGGGGAGGGGTCACCCACTGCAGCTGAACTCCTATCTAATCCAAGTGAGTGCAGAAAGGATAATCTAAGGGACTGAGAATAGGCACAGACATCCAGCACCTTCCCTCTCCCTCAAAAGTGAGAAAGTTGGAGTTGAAATCTGGACCTGTGGGCAGAAATCACACAGCAGCAGTATCTTTGTAGCAGATTGAAGTAACACTGGAAGAGATATGTCCACTCCTTGGTAGGTGCAATTATACTTTTACAATATTCATGAGAAAGAAGCCCAAATTAAAAAATATGGATATAAATTTGGCCTGTCCAGTGGGTCAAGACCTAAATGTACCACTAGCTTGAGAAGATGAAGTTAGACAACATAAATTCCTGGGCAGGATTTGCATTCACTTCAAGGCATCTGAACTTGGAGCTGGTTGGGAGGAGGGCTGAGGCATGAACAAGTGATTTCCCTATGAAATAGCTTCTGACAAACATAGAGAGGGCCAGAGGAGCTGCTCCAGCTGTGGGAGCCTCCAGCAGCCTCTTCTGAAGTGGAGGGATACTGAAGGAGGAATTAAAAAATAGATCTTTCTGGGAAATGAGGCGAGTTCATAAGAGCTTTGTTTCATGAGGCCAGGGAGCTGAAGGGGTAAGCCAATTTAGATCAGTAACTCTGATAAACTGTCCTAACAGCAACCTGAAAAATCCCTCACAGGTCTCTTCCCCTGAGTCTGTGGGTCTTCACAAAGAAAGAGAAAAGCCTGAGCACTTTTTGTAGCTTTATTTCAGGGTTTAGCCCAGCATGACCACACAGCAGCTTATTGTTTGTTCAACAACACAGCAGGAATTTCTTTCTCTCTCCAACAGAAAGAAGGTTGCTGGGATCCAGGAGAGGACCAGAGATATTCTAAATACATAGGAAAGGAATAAATAGAAATATTAGAAATGTTGACCCTAGGAGTTAAAAAGAGCAGTTATATTGTTCTCTGTGAATGTCCACTGCTGAAACCACAGCAGTCCAATCTCCAACAGGGTTTTCATAACACTACCACAATACTTAACTATTAATAGAAGCAATTTCTATCTGGATTGATGGGAAAATACCACAACACAGATGATTTCATTGATCTCAAGAAAAGGTGTGAAAATTAATTTCATCAGGGTCAAGGAAGAGGAGCTTTTCAAGCCTATCCTCATTTCTCCACTTCCTACAAGAAATTCCCTTCCCTTGGTCTCACCTCCTGCATGAGTCTTCTTTCCATCTCAGACCAAACCAAGCCAAACCACGCTTGGCTCTTGCTGGCTCAGGCCACCAGAGGAGAGCAGAGGAACTGAGGCAGTTTCTACATCCCTTAGGATCCTGAGCTCTGTCTGTCAGTGGTAAGTAGAAGGTAGCTTCATTCAGTTTTCCACCTTTGGAACAATTTAAAAACCTGCTGAGGTCACAATTTGCCATCATTTTACATGGCTCCATTGTCTTCAATGCATCCTGGTTCAGGCATCCAGTGAATCGAAGGCTCTGTGCCATTCCTCTCCAAACCTCAACATCTCTCCCCCGAGGCAGGCAGTACTTCCCAGAGCAGTTTCCTTCTCTTTCTCAAGGAATCCCAGCACATTAGCTCCACCTCTCTGCAAGGCTCCTCAAGAAAGTTCTTTTGTATAAAACATTGGCTCCGATAACTGCAAATGAAAGACAAATTCAGCAGATAAATGAGCTGGATATTATTTTATTGTAATTTAAACAATCATTTTTGAAGTGTGTAAGATTATATAGAACCTGTAATCAGAGCCAAGAGATGTCACTGAATAATACATGACATGATATAAATTAAGGAAAGAATGATTATATGTAATAAAAAGAATAAGAAATTTCTTCTTGTAGGAAGGATAGGAACCACATTATTGCTGAGCAGAGAGTGATAAAAATCATCTCCTTATGAATAAAGCAATGGGAAAAGGAAATGCCAGAGAGAATGGAAACGACCAAGGAAGGCTTGGCCAGGACTTAGTAAGCAAAGCCAGGGGCTTATAACTCTTCCCAACAGAGCAGTGCAGTGAGGCTCACAAATCATTTATTCCACAACCAATGTATAAACTACTGATGAGTATTTTTTTTGTTTTTCAAATGATTTTACTTCCTACAACTTCTTGGCGATGAGCTGAGTCGTGTATAGGAAGGGAATTGTGAGCCCAGGAGAGCAGCTTCCCCCATGCTGGAGCTACCCTGTCTGAGGGCACAGAGCACAAAAGCCTCTCCAGTCCTGGTGTTGTTCTCACAGACACCCCTGTTCCACCCACAGATTTACCTCATTCTGAGTCAGCTGAGGGGTTAAAAGTGCATCCATTCCATGGAAATTCAGGCCTCCACTACATCCTATATTGAACAGCTATACAATAAAATAAATAGCCTGTGTCCAACCAGCCACAGTGGGCTAATCACTCAAGACAGGATCATCAGCCACCAGGATGTGATGATACCTCTAAGCCAACACTCAGAAGCTTCTAGCTTTTAAGGACAGTATTTATTACTGCCTGTCCCTCAAAAGCTTGTATCCCTGAAGATAGCATGGCAGACTATAACTTGTACCCCTTAAAGCAGAATTATTCAACCAGATAGTTGAATAGAACTTCCTATAGAATTGAAAAACTTTTTACCCAGCTTAGAGGAAAAAGATGAGAAATATAAATACATGCCATGCAGAGGACAGAGCAGCAAATAACTGTCCTGTGGTCTGAACCTCCACTGCCTTGCAGAATGAAAAACAAGGTGGTGCCCATACTCCAGACAAAAATTCTGCCACAAAGGTGACTTGCAAGGTCAGATTTGGTAGACCAAAGGGTTGTTTTCTGAAAAATTTAGTGACTACCCATAGTGCAAGGTGGCAGAGAATCAGACATTCATCTGCTGCACTTGAGAACTTTTACTGGAAATCAGCCAAAATTAACTTCCTGTTAAAGACAAACCATGATGTTTCCAGGCTCAATCTATAGATAAAGATGTGCCTTCAGGTACATCAGGAGCCCTTTTGCCTCCTATCCCATAATACATCAGCCCTTCAGGAGTTTTTCAGCATAGGTATGACACCTTTCAATTGCTTTCTTCCTTTGCAGCCAGCAGGAGAAAATAACCTTATTATGTTGCAGCTTGGGCTGGGAGTGAGAGGCAAAAGGGCTGCAGTGCTCACTGAAGAAAAGCTGGGTCAGCAGCCTGAGCTGGCATGGAACAGGGCTCCCAGCTTTTCTGCCTGGGTGGAGCAGCAAGTTCCCCAAATCCCAACAGAGTATTTTGCAATAAGCAAAGGATTTATTGGCTGGGCTTTTTTTCAGTGCTCTGACTTCTGAAAAGGGAGAAATTCCCCCTTAATCAGGAAAGAAATTATGTTACCACAGAAATTTAGCATGCAGGATTGATTTCTAAATGAAAAAAATATGCAGTCTTAACATCATGTCTAGAGTCATTTCATGTACAATACATTCTTCTCCATATTTTCTTCATTATAAAAATTAATTCTTTCAACTTCTACAGCTACCATCCCTGGTGGATGCATATCCATTTTTGCTCCATTATCTGTTTGCAGGGGAGCATGTCCAGCAGACTGTCTTGTAACATTTTTCCAACGAACAACAATGAGCTCAGAAAGGTATCTTGCAAATTCTACTCCTTCTGAGGTGACCAAAACCTTAATTTAAAAGATATGAAGAAAGCTTGGAAATTGTCTTTTCTGACTAGGAGTATTTACAGATCTTTTTTAAACTCTATCTGTTTCTTCATGGTTGGTTTGCAAGTTAGAAACATTGAGAATGCCTTGCTGAATAGTAAATATTAATGCAAATATTAATTTATTTAAGCTGTTTTGAAAGACTCAGTGTCATATCATGCCTAAAGAGAACCATTAACTACTTTTTGAAATTTTAATCATTTTAAATACCCATGATCTTGACAACCCTCTCCTGCTTTTCTCCATCTCCACTTGCGAAAAATTTTGGATAAAATTCTGTTAATAAAGCCCAGTATATCAAAAAGAGAACAAACCAAGTTTAATAAGTGAATTATCCTTCTAATTTTTATATTGCACTTACCTGGTCTCTTTCAGCAGAGATCTCAAAATATTTTATAAGACCATATTGAGTGATAGCTAAATTACACCTAATAACACAACAGGGGGTAGTACAGTTAGATAAGCAGAAACATAGAAAATTTAATTGTCAAAGGTCAAATAAAAAGTGATTTGTAAAACCCAGGCAAGCACCTAAAGACTAACTATGGTTCCTGCAATTTACTTTATGAAATATGTCAAGCCTGATTTGCAACTGCCTTCATCTTTGTGCAATTATTTAGTGCAGTGCAAGACAAGTGTAAAACAGGAGTAAAATGGGTGCCAAATCAAAATAGCACAAGTGTGAAAGGATGAACGAGGGAGAAGACAATGCAGAATCCCTAAATTCTTGCCCATCATGACCACCTTGTCTCTGGTTCATTAACTCTCTTGTTTACCTACCAACATAAATGATAAATTTTGTAGTGCTCTGTTGACAAAAGGGTTGGCTAATTATCATTTTGCTGATGGATGACTCTGCAGCAAATTTGTGTGTCTGTGTGTGTGTGTATAGCTACTTGTATATCAAGTAGCTAAAATCTAGGTCTTAAATTAAATAGATTTCTCTTAAACATAGGTTTATATGACATACATGGATATCTGAACTCACATTTTGTTGCATAGGCCTCAGGTGAGACTTGTATCATGACAGACATCATTAAATGCAACTTGGTTTGAACAAATTATAGAAAGTGTAAGGTAACATTAAAATACCTCTCACTGAAATACGAAGTTACTAATTTAGCAAACTGCTTCTCATAACATTATCCTTTCTTGTTACCAGATGCTCCCAGCCAACACTTCAGAACACACTCATTCTCAGTAGGGACTAGCAATTTATAATAAAGCATTTGAGATGTTAAGAGACAGTCACTAGACCCACTGTATTTTGGAAATGTTATATTGGAAAGATATTTTAGTGGCTAATGCATAGCCTACATAATAAAACACTGGTGAGGAGGAGGAGATCTGATGATACTTTTTGTTTTCACTAACCACAAGAACTCTTAACTCTACTCCAGTTCAGATGTAAATATTTTATTTTGACACAAAATGCTTACGTTTTGAAACAGTTTGTCTGGGTTTCACTGTAATGGTACATTCTCCTGCTGTGAGCTTTTGGTCCACGCCCACCTTTGGCTGGGACATTTTTTCTCAACAGTCTCACCTCCTCTATTACAAAACAACCTTTTCCCACTACTTACAAGACCTGCATTTGGCTCCAGATGGGGTAAATACTGACAGTAACATTTTCAACAGCCTAAACAAAATTAGAAAAAATATAATTCAGAAACTGTATTTATGCCCATTTCATTGACTCCCTCTGAGAATTATTTTTTAAAATGTTGATAATTTGTCTTGGTTTTTTGTTGTTGTTGTTGCTCTTTGGTTTTTTTCTTGACAGGATAAAAGCCCATGTTAGGAAAAAAAAACCTTACATTTTCATCAAGGTCTTCCCTTATGTCTCCCAAAAATGAAATCAAAAAAGAAAAACAAAATATTCCTTTTCTTTAAAAAAAAAGGAACCAACAAGCAAAAAAAGGCAGGCGTTTTTTTAAATCACAAAACCAGAAAAGACACTGCAAGTCACTTTTAAATTAACAGCAACACTAGCTCATTCTGCTGAATATGATATTAAAAAATCTGTTTAAAACATAAATTATAAGATACCAGGCTAAGTGTTTTCTACAGTGATTCTTTGACTGAAGTGCTTTTCATGGTACTGTCCATCCAAAGACCTCACAGCAATTTTCCAGCACTGATGCGCTAACTCCCCTGACATTGACAAATACACTGCTGTTCTCTTTAGCAGTTATGGGAGCTGAGTCACAGAATATAAAGTCTCTCACAGGAGGCTTTACAAGAAGCCAAAGTTTTCTAGGTGTGTGGGTTCTACAACTCAAAAGGCAAGCAATTTCCTCCACCCTGGAGGTGCCAGGTTCAAAATCCTCAGCTGTACCTTCAGCAGTGTGGGTCTAACACACCCTCCTTCCCCCTCCGTGACATGGACATTTTCTGCAGCCCACATTGCCACTGCCACGTCAACACCTCCAACCTAAATCTCCTGAATTTTTCTACTATAAATATGCCTGGGCACAATTCTAGAGAGGTCTAGATGGAGGATTTTATGTGCTCTACTTGAAAGCCGCCCTCAACTGCAGACCTACCCTGAGACACCCAGCTGTTGTGTCCTTGCACCTGGTGCTTCTTCCCAAGCTGTCATGTTTAACTCCACATGCTCCTCAATATCCAGTTCACTCCCAAAGCACCTCCCTCACCTCACTCCAATTCCCTCTCAAGTTGTCTGGAGAGGGGGTGGGAGCATAAAGACAGGGAGGAAGAAGAAAGTCTTCCGTTAAAATGGACCCTAAGATACATTCATGCTACAGTGAGAAATGGTGTTATCCTTGTTTTCCCCACCTCCCTTCCTCTCCTCCCTCACATCTACTCCCCTGCCTATGATCTGTATTTCTCTCACAAAGATTTGATAATCCTTTCCAGGGCAAGAAGAGGAGCCATGTGGGGCAGGAGTGAGTGATGCAGGAGCTCACAGTCCTTCCCCCAGCCCCAGGCCAGGGCTGCTCCCCCTGTGCCCTGCCCAGGGTCCTTCCCTGGCAGGGGCTGTGCCCCTACTCCTGTACATCCTACATCCTGTACAGATGCTTTGTGTGTTTGGGAGCACATGGGAAAAATGCCAGCTAAAGAGGAAGCAAGCCCTTCAACTTGGCTCAAATACAGTTTTCAATGCTTATCCTTTAAAATGGCATCAGCATTGCACCACAATTAGCTTTTAATGTATCACTGCCTAAATCCATGTATCTTCATTCCAAGTATTATTTGCTGTAGAAAACATCTTATGATGACCTGCCACCACAGCATACACATCTGAAACACATTCCAGGATTAATTAATTTATTAATTATCATAAAATATCATCATCAACATCGTGCTGTCAACAGCCTGTGTACACAAGCTAGGGAGTACACACACCTTGTCTGAGGTAACACTGGCTTGCATAAATCACAGTTAGGCAATAATCACAGTGAATAATAACTAGAATTCACAGTACAGAACTTTCATCTTAGGGAAGATGAGAGTGACCAGGGTGAGAAAAATACTCCAAGATCAAAAGATCTTGCTTGTGCTGGCAGAAGAGGCTGGCAGATGAGAAATACAATGAAACCAAAAGCTACAAGCAACTGAATTTACCATCGGTTCTTGTAAGCAATGCATGATCAGTAAAACCCCATTGGAGTCATGTTGGAAGCATATGAGGAAATGGGGAGAGGGAAAGCCTCACATTAGGTGAATCTTCCTGAGCCATGACTTGTTTTCCACAAAGGCAGCTGGAAGTGTTGGAAGTGAGCACTTTATACCAGAAAAACAATAGCAAAACAATGTTTCTTCCCCCTTATTGAAAATAAACTACAAAGCAGAGTTCCTCCTCAAGGCTTCCTAGCAGGGCAGTGGGAGCTCCTTTTCTCCTGCTCAGTTTAGCAAAACCATGCAGGAAAGGGAGGTGATAATCCCCTGGCGACATTTCACTTAACACTTCTCTGGGAGGCAGTAATTCCTGTGTGCCACAGGAACCAGAGAAATGGAAGAAGGCTCTGTCTCAGAGAGTCGTGTTAATGTATTTGCAGCACATAAAGGACATTATTATGAGTTTAATCCAAGTTTTGATGAAAGCACTGTAAGGCCTTGGTGACATTAGGCACTTTCACCAGGTGCTGTTTGGCAACCCTAAACACTGAGAGGCTTCAAATCAAAGGAAACCCAGGCATGACCCAGGGACCAGATATGCAGATTCCACACACTGAGCACGAGCCCACATCCTCCATCCCTTACCTTCAGTGTGAGGACAACAGTTCTGGCTTCAGTAAATAAGCAAACATAAGCACATAGACACAAACCCAAAAGTAATAAAGAGTATGTCCTGAGTTGATTATGAAGTTAAATTGGAGCTTTATTATATTGGGGCTGTATGATGAATTTCAGTTGCTAATTCACAGGAGAAGGCTGGGAGCATAAAAACTGGGTGACTGAACCCTATCCCTTCCTTTTTTTAACAACTTA